CATTGCACTTGTTATAATCCAATATTTTATGAGCTTTATGAATAATGTTGTATCACACGTACACACCACACGTAAAGTACTAAATGTCAATAATTGTTTGGATTGGAAATCGTAGAAAGATGTTTGCGAGTCGAAAGTTGGAATAGAAATGAAATATCAGTAATGAAAATGTTTGCAGTCAGTATTTTTACCTGAAACGGTTGAAGAAGCGATTCCGGCTACACGTCATAAAAAGCAATAAATCCCTTCCTTCACAACATTTTCCAATAGATACTGGAAAACACGTGTTTTCCACGTGTGTATTTCGTCTGACATAGCAAACTATTGGAATATACAGATAGCATAGTAACAAGCATCATATTTATATCATTAACTAAGGTACTTAGGCTTGATCTTGATATTTTCTGTAAACTAAACCATTCCTCATCTCGTACAGTTTATTTTCTGATCGCTCTAACTCGGTACGAATTCTTACAATTGTTGAATCGTCATTTTGGCACAATGCAAGATTACGATCGAAGGAATTGTCCTCTATTACCAATACTTGCCTACTTAATGCGTCCACGTGAAGCATTCGGGTTCCTGATCTATGTTCCAACGTATAATCATTATCCTGCATCTCCAGAACCCAACGCGCGATCCGTGGGTTTGTTTCTCTTTTATTCAGTGTGAGGCTTAGGGCCTGGCAATCTGTAATTATTTTAAACTTTACTCCAAGTAAATATCTGCGAAAACGGCGTAAAGCATAAATTATTACTAAGGTTTCTAATTCGAAACTATGGTATTTTGATTCAGTCTCTGCCGTTCTTTTCGAAAAATAAAATACTGGGTGTAATTTTTTATCTATTTTCTTCTGCAGTAAAATCGCTCCAAACCCAGTTGCGCTCGCATCACAATGTAATTGGGTTTCATCTCTCGGAGAATATATACCTACTTAAAATCGGTGCATGAATTAAACGGTCTTTAAGTTCTTTACTAAATCATAAAGGGGTTTCGCGACGATTGAAAATCCCTCGACAAATTTTCTAAAATAGGAGCACAGTCCCAGAAAATTTTGCATATCTCGAACATTATGAAGGTACGGGAAATTCACTACCGCATCGAGACCTCGTTCTGTTGGTCGGATCCCTTCGTCGCTGATTGTATAACCTAAATAATCTAATTTTGTTTGGAAAATATTACATTTATCAAGTCGTAATTCGAGTTTGTTAGCTACGAGTAATTTAAAGACATGTTCGAGTACTTGAAAGTGATGCTCGATCGTTTCTGTCATAATTAAGAAATCGTCCAAATACACAGATAGTTCGCCTGCATCAATATGTTTCCTAAAGAATTGTGTAACAAATCGTTGGAATCTCAGGGGAGCTCCCTTCAACCCAAAAGGCATCCTCGTATACTCGTACTGGCCGAAAGGTGAGACGAATGCCGTGTATTTTATCGATTCCTCATGCGTTTTGACATGAAAGAAACCATCTCTAAGATCTAAACTCGTAAAATATTTTTTCCCTCTTAATAAATCAAGTTGATCTTCGTTCAAGGGGAGTGGAAAATTATCACGCGCCGTAATTTTATTTAGTGTTCGAAAATCCACGCACATTCTTGTTTCGCCGTTTTTTTTCCTAGTTAATACAATCGGTGAGGCATATTCCGACGTACTCTCTGTAATAAATGATGCTCTTGGCAAGTAAATCGTCTATAATATGTTGTAATTTATTTTTCTCGTCGTAAGAAAGTCTACGCGGCGTGAATGGGAATGGCTTTTCGTCAACGAGCGTCAGCTTCATGACGTTTTCTACCGCGGGTTCCGACGGTCTTTCAACTTTAGCGTAATTTGTCACAAATAATTTGTGCAGTCGCGTTTTAACTTCGGCCGGAATGCTTTCGTTGATTTTCATGTCCTGCGCTGTCACTTTATTGTCACCGTCGTCTATTCTAATGTTTATAATTTCGTTCACTTCGTCTTTAACAATCAATGACAGTTTCGCAAGTCTCATGAAATCACGACCCAAAATTATAGGACTTTTCATCGTCCGATCCGACACTACCCGTAAGACTACATCGTACTCGTTGTTTTCTAAAATAACCGTCGCTTCGGTATGACCTACTACGTCTAAATTACTGCCATTAATACCACAAAACTGATCGCCATTTAAATCGATTACCACCCAATCTCTCGGAATGTAACATTCTTTAATAAAACATATGGGAGTTCCCGAATCAATCAACGCATTAAGAGAAATATTAAAAATGCCGCCCTTGTTCTTAATACGCAGCTCCACCGCCCGTCGGAAGTCGTCATCATCACCTCGTTGTTCTGCTACGTAATTGATGTTCGATAATGAATTGCACTAGTTCGCTCGATGATCAAGTTTGCCACATTTGAAACAGGAACCTCTCTCCATCTTCGGCTTCGGGCAATTGCTCCCTCTGCAGCTCCCTGGTCCGCTGCATGATTTTTTTTGTATTTTCTGGACGTTGTATGAATGGCCGGCGCAACGTCTCCCTGAGCGCTGGGACGTTTGCGAGTGCCGTTCGCATTGCGTCGATGGTCTCATATTGCTGTACCTTTGCTTGCGTTTGCAACGTCTCGTTCTGTATGCCTTCGATAATATAACTAATCATCTCCGTTTCCGGTACAGGCACACGGTTTCCCAGTGTTACCTTTTCGTGGAGATAATCAGAAAATGCTTCACCGGTTTTCCAGATCCGTCCCTCGAATTCACGTTGTAACATTAATGGATCTGGGCGTTGATCATATATTTTCTTCAATTCTCGCAATAGATCATCACAGCTTAACTCGACACAGTCGGCTCGCGAATGATACCATCTCAACGCTTTGTCGGTGAGCCTGCTCATACGAAGAAAGCAGTTATTTCACCTGTTTCTCCCATTTGTCATGGTCCAAATTGTTACCGCCAAACTCAGCAACTAAGTCCTTAATTTCCTGCCATCTCTTTGCACTGGCTCAAACGGGACGATCTTCTTCTGATCGTGGGCGTCATTCTTAGCAAATCGAGCTCTCGTCGTAACAATTCCGCTTCGCGGGCCGCTAAATCCCTTTCTTTTCGTAATATTTTGATTTCACGCAATTGAACGGAACGCGACTCGTGCGGTTCATTGTGGGAGTCACTCGAGCGATTCCGTTCGTTCCGAAACAGGCGGTGTCCCGACCGGAATCCCTGCTTCCAATAATCGTTTGACTAATTCGTTTTTCGTTCCCGAAGTAGGCAGACTGTTTTCCATTAGCATTTCTTTAAGTTCGGACACCGCAACCATACTTGTGAGACAGTCTTTATACGAAATATCGCCGTACGAACAAAAACCGTAACATAAATCGGACACTTAACATAAACCTGTACGTTTCTAAAAAAATTCGTGAAGTCCATAAAGTTCACAAAATTTTCCTAACAACGACGCGTCATCGTAAACACACGTTGTTGAGCACGATGGCTATCCGACTTCTGAAAATTGTAAGGGATGGGCGATTTTAGTATAAAGGGCACACGGACAACCAAACGGCCGATCAACGTCTTTCGCGACGCGCTGCTCCAATCTTCGTTAGCAACCACCAAACAACGCTGTTCCTCTGTTCGCAGCTCGGACAGGCACACGCATGCACACAGACACATACACACTACACTTACAATATTATTACAAATAACGGCAATATTCAAGGTGGACATAGTTATTGCCCCACCCTGTATGTATCAAAGTGAAAAGATAAGAGGGAAGTCTGCAGCATAACTACTTACGCGTTACCACCCAGCATTAATAGAAACGACCAATAGATTCGACCAAACCAAAGTAAAGCTAAAAGATTTTGCAGAATAGAATACTTATATGTCTGGTATTGTCCGGGTGGACCAAGTAATTTCTTATTATTCATGTGCGGCTCTTATGCAAATAGAATGTATGTATGAAATATGGTAAACTAAAACTGATAAACTTTAAAAAATTGAACTGGTTTTTCAGTTTTTCATTGTTTGATTTGTTATCAAAGATAAATCAATGGCTCTTTCAAATATTCCTTCCTGAAATGTGGCTTCCAAAGGTAGTGTAGTTGGCCACCCCTGATATATATAGTAAAAAAAAAATGAAAGAGACAAAAAAACTGCATTAATAGATTAGATTTTAGAAATTTTCTAATAAAGTATTTTATCAGTATACCAGCTGATCACTCTGATGGTCGAAAGTTTGTAAAAATCGGATCGAGACACGGAGGCAAACGCAAAAGAACTACTGTAGAAAATCAAGAGGAAGTAAGCCAATCCCACTTTCAGGAAAAGATTCCTGTGCCTGAAAGATACAGACGAAATATTTACCATTTACGATGTCGGTATTGTTCGAAAAATAATGTACGGAAGGAAACATCGTGGCGGTGTAGAGATTGCGATGAAAAGCCACCCTTATGCCCAGGACCATGTTTTGAAAAATGGCACAATAACGAAATATAACAAGATAGCAAGATTTTTGGTATGTTTAGCTTTATCTTGTAATATGATTTCTTATTGTATACCTAAATACTATTCATATTCTATATTTTGCTCTTTTGAAGTTTAGTTTTACTATACTTAAAGCATATTTAATTAATTTGTTCAGATTTATTATTAATTAATATGTTCCAAAATTCATTTTCCAATTTCGTATCTTTTATGCTAAATAAATATATTTCGTATAAATGTACCGTGACAATCATACTCATTTTTCAATAGTATATCATGTTCGTGGAACAAGAATATTGTGGTCACAAGTGTGTTTCTAAGCACCTATGTGAAATTTCAAGTGTCCGCGAAAGAGTTAATATTAATATATTTTCCATTTGTAAATGAAGTATCATTTTCCACTTAAAATACTAAATCATATGTTATCATTCATCTATTGTTGGAACCCTCAAACAGACTACAACGCACGGCCCTGAGTGTCGCAATATCATTCGGTGCCGATTCTTAAGAGTTTAATTTACGACCTCTTTAAACCGATCAATTTTTCTTCGTTTTTAGCCGGTAGGACAACCACCAACGAAGAACTAGAGGAAATGCTGGAACAAGGAAATCCGGCCGTGTTCACGCAAGGAGTAAGCCTGTCCTATCTTCCTTCTTTCCTTCCTTTCTTCTTTAATCCATCGAACATTATGCGGTATTCTATGGAGGCTATATTTTTTTTCGCAGATCATTATGGAAACGCAACAAGCGAAACAAACTCTTGCCGACATTGAAGCGCGCCATGCGGATATCATCAAACTGGAAAACTCGATCAGGGAACTTCATGATATGTTCATGGACATGGCTATGTTGGTAGAAAGTCATAGATTTGTAACAGTCTTTTTGTTTCTTTCTCGTTTGTTCTATGCGCCCCCTTCGGTTTTCCGCGGAAATACAATCTCACGGGTTATATTCCTAGACTAATATTACCTACAGTTTGCTATACGGTTGTTCGCGTTAAAGTAGAATTTTAATTACGTGCAACGATTAGCAAGAAGAGATGGGAAAGGGAAAGAATGAATTTTATGAGGGGCGTAGCGTGAAGCAGTGTAACTTTTCTTTTCTCGAGCATGCGAGCGTGTTTACCGAGTTCTATCGTCACGAAAATTGCGCGTAGTTTGTATTCGTTCTCGGTACACGCTGATGTAAATTTGATATGCATGACATACAAATAAACGGCTACATAGATAATGGCAATAACGGCAACAAATTGATATTAATATCAATATTAACATGACGATAATACGAGAACGACAAGATAGTAATCTTCTAAATCGTTGAGACTGAGAATGAAAACGCATTGATCAAAAGAAAGAAAGAAAAAAAGATAGGTAGATAGATAGATACAAGGAAGGAAATTTGGCAAAATTGCAAATAGTCAACGCGTTTATATCAAATTTTAATTGCCATCATCAGTATGGTCTGTTTCTCTCTCTCTCTCTCTCTCTCTCTCTCTCTTTCTTCCTTTCTTTCTTATTCTCCGTGGTGCATGCAAAAAAAATCTTAGCTTGTTAACCGACTAAAACTAACAACGCTTTCTCTTCTCCTGTTACGCTGCGTGGATTCGCGCCACGCACCTACTTTAGGGTGAGATGATAGATCGCATAGAATACCACGTGGAACACGCGGTGGACTACGTGCAGACGGCTACGCAGGACACCAAAAAAGCGCTCAAGTATCAAAGCAAAGCCCGACGGGTGAGTCCTCCCCAGATGTTACGCGAAATCATCGATCTTTTGTTCGCGTCTAATTGGTCACTTTTTGTTTCTCCTCTCGGTCCTTGTCCTCTGCTATCTCTTCCTCCTTTTCCCTCTCCTCTTCCATATGGTTTGTGGAACCTAACCTTTTTCAACCCCCGCGTACATCCTCGATCATTCAATATTATTTCGATCTCCCTTCCTTGCATTCGCAATTTTTCTTTCACTTATATTCTTTCACTTTTCCACCACTATTCGATATCCCTTTCGCTTTTTGGTTAACTTGTTTTGTTTCTTTGGTTATGTGCATCTATTACTACTATTCTCTTTACTCCTTTGAAACGTGACACCAAATAACCGCAACGCTTTACCATCATTTTCCCTATCATATTTTGAATAATCGAAACGATGCTCGCGCACGTATGTGCGTTCATACGTTCGGTGTGCATCTATTATGTATGATGTATGTATTACGCGTTTCTTATCCCTCTGATTCTTCTCTCTCTCTCTCTCTATCCCTCTATCTATGTTTGCGCGCGTGTACTATATATACAATCAAACTTTTAATTATACGTATACGGCTATGTTTGTTGTATACATGCATCATCATATTTGTGTCTCTCTACTTGTGTCGCTCTGTCCTGTTGAACATGAGTGTGCTAATTGTGGCTCCGTCCATCAACTGTTTCGTCCATTGTATGTATTACTAAAACTCTGCGTATTAACCTCTGCTCTCTAACCGACTAAATTTCGTTCATGATTCGGTTCCCGTGTGTTTGCGTGCGTGGCCATGCATTCACGCTGCACCGTTTCTTTTGCTGTCGCGTGGGGTGGTGTGGCTTCATCTGCGGTGTGTGTGTGTGTCTTTATGCTATTTCTTCCTGTGTATACGTCTGGTTGCACGCGTACGCGTAACAATTAACTTTGGGTACATCCTCGTTGGAGATTCGATCCATCTCGCGCTCTCTGCCATCCGTTCTCTTCTTCCACCCGTTTTCCGTCCCTCTATCCCTGGCACCGCACGGTACGACACGCCATGGCACGGCAGGGCGAATTGGTGGACCGCATTGAGTACTTCGTCGATCAGACTGGTGACCACGTGGATCAAGCCCGAGGGGAGCTGATCAAGGCCGAGGAGTACCAGAGCAAAGCTCGTAAGGTAAACGCATCGGATCCGGAATGCTTGATCGCCGCTGGATTCTTTTCTTTCGTTTCTTTCGTGCAACTATCGACGATTCGCTATCACCGCAGTGGTGGTGGTATTGCTGCTGCTGCTACTACTCTGTTCTTCTCTTAAATTCTCGAAATTTCGACAGTCATTCAGCGACGATCATCGACGGTTATTCATACACATCGTTGTAGGAAGAGACCATAAGGATTTCGATGACGAAACTGCAAAGCGAGAGCTACGCGTGCTATTTTCGATTTGCGACTTGTCGCCTTTTTTCCCCGTACCCTTTTTCCAAACAGGTCCTCCTCTCCACATGTTGCATGTTTGACGCTACGCTCGTCGTCGAACCTCTATCTACACGATGTATACGAGCATTTGTACGTCTGTTGCACGCAACCCAAGGAGAAATTGCCGACGCAAATGTTACTTGCTCTTTTCGACTCGGTTTCGATATTCCTTTTCCCCGTTTACCACCTATTTTTCTGTTCGCTTTGCTTTTGTGCGAGTTTCGTTCGGTGTTGTTCCGTGGCGATCGAGCGCGCATAAACTCATTCTTTCGTAGATGAACATGTCGGCAGCATGTGCGATGCAAGGTGCATACGTCCCCGTACGCTTTTCTCCTCTCTTACGAACAGTCGCAAACCTTTGTGTTCGAATCCGCGTTGCAAATATAATTCGCGAAACAGAAACATTCGTTTCGCTTTTATTTCTCTTCTCTCCTTTTTTCTTCTATTGCTTCTCGCTATCTTAATCAAATTCATTTCCCTGTCTACATCCATCTTCCATCTGTTTGTCTGCCTGCCTGTCTGCTTGTCTGCCTGTCTGCCTGCTTGTTTCTTGTGTTAGGTTGTAACATATGAAACGTTCGATTTTGAACCGCAGCTTTAAGTCAGTATAACTTTTTTTATATTAAATTTTATTAATCCAAATAGGAACCATTACAATCTACACATTTCTGCCAACGAGTGACAAGATTAATTTCATTTTCATAAAATGTCGGCGTTCTGGTATCAATAAATTTGTTGAAGGTATTTTCTATGTTTGCTTGATTCGTAAAGGTTTTTCCGCTGGGAAAGTGATCTAGATGTTTAAAAAAGTGATAATCCGTGAGCGACAAATCCGGTGAGTATGGCGGATGAAGTAGTTCCGTATTTTAAGTAATTAAGATTTTTTGACTGTCATTTGCAAAACATGTGGCCGAGCATTGTCGTTCACCAGAATGGGCCTTTTTCGATTGACCAATGCCGATTGTTTAATTCGTTATTTCTGGTGTCTTACTTCAAGTTGAGCACAATACTTCTCTGCCGTGATAGTTTCACCTGGTTTTAAGAAGTTATAATAGACCATATTAGCCATTGACCACCATACTGTGACCATTGTCTTCTTTGGATGTAAAGCTAACTTTGACATGTGTCGTGTAGATTTATCTGCATTTAACCATTAAGTAGAACATCACCTGTTATCGTAAAGTACCCAGTTTTCATCGTAGGTCACTGCGATGCAAAAGCAGATCTCTATCATTGCGAATCAACAGTGAATTGCAGATTTCTTGACGTTGAAGTTTCTGTCGTTCATTAAGTTGATGAGGCGCCCACCTGCTTAGCTCTTTCACTTTACTAATCGGTTGCAAGTGACGTATAATTGTTATGGCACTTACACTTAATTCTATGGCAAGTTTTTTATGACAGTTTTACATGGATTTGCTTCAGCCGAAAGCTTCAGTTGACCATCATTAATGGCCGGCACTGGTCTTACACGTGCTTCATTAACAAGGTTTTCATCTCCGGATTCAAATTTTTGGTATCATCAACGCACTGTACGTTCATTAAGGGGTTAGTTCAACATGACCTCCTGAAAATCATAGGTATCTTTGTGAATTTTTCCTGCGAATATAATGAAATAAACTGGAAATCAGTTAGAAAGCCTGTAGTACTCTACTCCTATATACAGGGTGTCTGTTTTATCTCAATACAGTAAAATATCTTTTAAGGAAGTGATTTTACGAAAAAAAATGTTTTAACAAAAGTTGTTTGGTATGGAGGGGGACGTTATTTGCTGTAAATATTTTTTTTGTACTTGGTATGTGAGGGAGATTTCAAAGTCAGTTTAATTTTTTTAAATGGAATGCTATATTTTTTGATATACATAATATGATAGTGTATGTTAAGACGAGTTCAACGAGTACAATAAGTACCTACCAATATGTTCAATTTTGAATTATTGAAAACTTCCTTCTATGGGTATCCCCTCCACAGATCTTCCATTATTTCCTATATTACCATATATCATATCATATCATAGATATCATAGATATCATATCATATATTTCATATATATTAAATGTCTTCCAACATTTTGTGGGGCTTCATTTTGCCTTAATGTAGCGTTGACTCTTCTTGTACAGCTTTCGTATAATTTTTCAATAATTTTAATTGGAAGTTTTTGTCATTCTGTACGTAATACTTTAAACAGTTCATTTGCATTTTTTGGTTCACTTTTTCTTCGTGCTCTGTCCAAATAAGCCATGTTCAATAATATTTCAATCAAGACTTTGGAGACCATTTCATAACTTTTAATAGTTTACTATCCTCTAAATTTTTCAAATAATTTTTTATAATTCGGGCAGTATGTTTGGGTTCGTCGTTATGTTGGAAGATAAATTTGTTACAAATTAGTTGTAGCCCGGATGGTACTGAATGCTGCTGTAGAATCTGTAAGTATTGTGCAGTTGTCATTTTTCCATCAATCCGGACCAAATTTCTTACTTCATAAGCAGAAATACAGCCCCAAACCATTACCGTCCCTCCGCCATGTTTTACTATAGATTTCAAACGTGCCTCCTGGTAAACTTCTCCTTTTCGTCTCTGTACATACTGACGCCTTTCCTTACCAAAAATTTCGAATGTTGTTTCATTGCCCCATAAGACCGTTTCTCAATCTTCTATTTGCCAATTCTTGTGTTCCTGAGCATATTGCAGTTTTTTATTCTTGTTTCCTTTTCGAAACAACGATTTTTTAATTGCAACACATCCTCTTAGCCCGGATTTCAGAAGAGTTTGACAAACTGTTGAAATGTCAATCGATACTCCCGTAGCTTGTTGCATATCTTCTGTCAGTTTTACTGAAGATCTTGTCGGATTGCAGTCTTAAAAACTTTTCATGACTTTCCTTTATCTTGTTAGGCCACCCACATTGTTTTTTGTCCTCGACACATCCAGTTTCATTGAATTTTTTTATGGTGTTTTGAATTGCCGTCCTGGAAATTTTACATTTTTTAGTCATTTCTCTTTGACTAAGCCCTACCTGGTAGTAAATAATGATGCGATGTCTATCTGTTGTTGATATTTTTGCCATTACACTTGTTATAATCCAATATTTTATAAGCTTTATTAATAATGTTACGTCCTACACACATACAGGCGCATGCGTAAACTACTGAACGTCAATGATTGTTTGTACTGGGAATCGTGGAAAGATGTTTGTGAGTCGAAAGTTGAAAGAGAAATGAAATATCAGTAATAAAAGTGTTTGTAGTCAGTATTTTTACTTGAAACGGTTGAAGAAGCGACTCCGTACTGCATGTCATAAAAAGCAATACGTAAATCCTTTTCTTCACTACATTTTCCAATAGACACCGGAAAACACGTGTTTTCCACGTGTGTACTACGTGTGACATAACAAATTATTAGAATATACACATAGCATAGTAACAAGCATCATATTTACATAGATTTATTCAAGTATAAAACAAATCTCGCACGGTGGCGTAAGACTTTTGCACAGTACTATTACAGTATTATACTGCTATACATATATGTATGTATAGGGT